TTAGTATTTTTTGGTTAGGAATACCTGTTATCATTAAAGTTAGTATTTAGGGTTAGTAATAGGGTTTAGGGCAAGAGTTGAGGTTAGGGACTATGGGTGGGGGGTTAGAGTGAGTGCAGATAGGGTTTATGGTTAGAATCAGGGTTAGTGTTTACAGTTAAAGTTAGTGTAAGATGAGGGTTAGAGTTGGTGGTTAGAGTTAGACTTCGTGTTTGGGATTAGAGCTGAGGGCCTAGGTTAGGGTTGGGATTAAGGTAAGAGTTGAAGGTTAAGCTTAGGTTTGGGGTTTAGAGTTATGGTTGGGGTTTAGGTTCAGGGCTGGAGTCCATGCATAATTATGATTTAATATACATTATATGATAATGTGATGGCAGTAATGATAATGGTGTTCTAGACAGAACTTTGTCTTAACAGCTCAATATCTGGTCTTCTTACCTGCCACCATCTGTGCCCTCCTTGTCTATACTGTAGCTGGAATGACTTTTTAAAGATATTCCATTGATCATGCCATATACTTTGTTCAGAAGCCTCTACTACCTCCCGTGGTAGCTACAATAAGAACTCAAGTCTGTCTAATCCTTAGATGCTTTCTGACATCCCTATTTCCTCCCCCTTTCCATCTGGGTCCATGGCTAAGCCACTCTGGCACAGCTGATATCACGTCCATTCCCAGCACTGCTCTGGGCCTTCTGTGAACGGGCTGCTGCTTGAAGCTCCTACATCTTTCCCTAGCTATTTATCTTTCTGCTCTAAGCCCCTGCAAAGAGAGAACCTTCTCCTCTGACCTCCCTAAAGGCACAAAGGACAGCCAGTAGGTGCTAATACTTTTTCAAGAAGATAATATTAGTGACAAATGTTTGAGTTTGTATTTTCACTTTTTGCCCCTCTGTCTGTTGCTTTCCTTCTAGGCTCTTCTGTCCTCCCTCTCTCCTGACCTCAGCAGACTGTGATACTAAGTTGCATGGAAGCCTCATCTTCTCATTCCAATTTTAAAGTCTGATGTGCCCCGAACTCTTAGAATAATAAGCCCAATTTCCTTTAGTCACTGGAGCCTTTCTTGGGTTCCTTGTGCCATCAATCTAGCCTCTGGGAGTCAATGGGGGTCTTTGTCTCTGGAGCAGTGTCATGGAGAAGGGCTTCATTGTTCATCTCCCTCCATCTTTTAGTACCCACCATGTCTTTCCATCATTGCATCTTCTCATTCATCCTAACTTCTGAACAGACGTCTCTCCTCTACCAGACTGCTTCTTCATTAGCCTTGAAATTCTCTCAATCACAGTTATCTCCTGGATGAATCTCATACTTATTTTTATGCTGCTCTTCTCCATAAGCTAAATCTTAAAACAATTATCTGGGGCCAGAGAGCTGGCTCAGTGGGCCAAATGCCTCGTGTAGAAGCATGGGGATCTGAGTTTTAACCCCAGCACCCACAGAAAAGCAAAGCATGGGAACATGACCCTGTCACCCCAGTGCCAGGAGCCAGAGGTGAGAGACCCTGTCTCAAAAGCTAAGGTGGAAAATGACAAGGAAAACACCCTACAGTGACTCACACACACACACACACACACACACACACACACACACACACCACCACACCACTCATATACACTCATGTATAATCTCACAATTATTTTGAGTGTAATTTTTCATTTAGATTTAGAATTTATTGCTCACATCCCCCAAATCTCTGCCTGATTCCATGAACCATTGTTTAACAAGTTCAGTGTTAACATTGGAGTTGGGAGGTTTTGATATCAGGGATATTTTCAAATCAAAGTGATACCAACTTCTATAAAGACTTGTGAATGGAAAAAAAATGAGGCCATGACTGTTCCCAGGTTTGGTGGAGAAGGTTTATTGTAGGTATGAGTGAGAAAACAGCCAAAGGCATCTGGAATAATCCAGACAGAACTGGGCCATGGGGGTAGGGAGAAGAAGAGAGAGGAGCAGGAGTCAAGGGGTCAAGAGGCCTCATAACCCAATAGCTGGGCTATATAGGAAAGTTGGGGGAAGGGAAGCTCAGAGGTTGGAGAGGTAGAGGATATGGGTCTGGGTATACCAGCCAGGATGACTCTATAACCATATTTGCTGAGAACCTGCCAACCAACATACATTTTGATATGTTAAACAGGCACCTCAGTTAGCCATTTGTCCTGAGTTTGAGACCTATCAACTGCTGTGGTAAAGATACAGACATTTTGGATGGAAAGTAGTCTTAGAACTTCATTTACAAGGCTGGAGAGATGTCTTAGTGGCTGAGAGTACTGACTGCTCTTCCAGAGGACCTAGGTTCAATTCCCACCATCCAAATGGTGACCCACAATCACCTGTAACTCCAGATCCAGGCATGCCTTGGTCTCCTGTGGAATTGGAAACTAAAGGCAATGTACCCTGCTCAACTTCTCACTATAGGCTTGAGGATTTAGTAAGACAAGTAAGAAAGAGCCTTAAAAGTGGTAAAGTACCAGCCACAGAGATGGCTCAGTGGTGAAGAGCCAGGACCTCTCCAGCAGAGTTTGATTCCTAGCAACCATGCCTGGTGGTGGTTCACAACCACCTCTAAGTCTAGCTCCTGGGGACCTGATGCCCTCTTCTGGCCTCCTTGGGTACCTACACACACATGTATACCCCCACCCCCCACTTATACATAACTTAAAATAAATCTTTTAAGAGTTAAATATAAACAAACAAACAAACAAATAAATAAATAAAGGTCACTGTTAGCCTGGGCTACATAGTGAGAATTTGTCTCAAAACATAACAAAACACGGGATGTTTGAACTTCTTGGCCTTGTAGAGAAGAAATACATTTATTAATCACTTATTTTGTGTTTCTGAATCTGGATAGCTGAAACACTCACCAACAACAAAGGCCGAAGGCTAGGGAAGTAATAAAATTTGTGTCCAGAGCCCTTCCACTCCAAACTTACTACAATGTATGGAATTCAAAATTAACTTAAAAACAACAACAACAACAACAACAAAACCAAACTTTCCCAAGCACCCTAGTTAGCTAATGAGAAATAGTGTGCTCTCAAGTTTTGAAACAAGGATGCCGACCAACTCTGAAACTCTCTGTGGGAAATCTAGCCTAGTTCCCAACTTGGGGTGTGCTAGTACATCAAGAATTATACTGGAAGATGAAAGCCGGAGCACTTGGAAGAGGTGTCAAAGTGTGGCGTCGGATGCTGCCTCCTGGAGGCCTGTTTGACTTCAACCTTCACACCTCACCTTCTTTCATCCCAAGGTTTCAGCCCAGTGATCACAACGGCTCACTGTGGAGGTCAGCACAGGCTCTTACAGAGTAATCAGCACATCTGGCTTATAGCAGTTTCATTCTCCTTCCTGGGAAAGCATGAAGAAGCCGAGTGTTGTTCAGAACATTAAACATCACTATTTCTGGCCTATGGCCAGTCTGCAGGCCTTGACTTATACATGACCTCTAGTTATTAAGAAAACAAACAAAAAACAAAGCTCCAAAGTCCTGCCTGGAATAGCGGAAATACTGCCCCTGGGCTGTCCTGGAGGCTTGGTGCTTACAAGAGGAATCCGAATTTCTCCTCCACCTCAACTTGGAGGGCTTTGTGTGATTTAACCTTGTCTGTAGACTTAGGGTACAAGTTGCACAACATCACTTTGCTGCTGCCCTGCCGCCTGTTAGGGCCACACCTTTCTTTTTCTCAAGATGGAAAGTGCTACACCGCCTTGATTCCAGATTTACACAGAGAATCCAGCCTCCAGACAGCCTCGGGGTTCATCCACGGATGGCCTTGGCAGAAAATCATAGTCAAATAGCAGGAGCCTCATGCTGGCCACAGCCCCAGGGCACAGAGAACACAGCTGCCTTTTTATACCTGAGTGCAAATCTTGGTGTTCACAGGGCAAGTCACAGCTCACTAAGACCTGGAAGTCTCCTGATTTTGTGGTTGGGAAGCTGTTAGGACTGGGTCTGAGTTGCACCACTCACTGGGCAGTAGTAGGAAGGAGGGCTAGATACCAGGCCAAAAACCTGAGCAAGAAAGGCTAGTTGGCCCATTCATTGCAGTGTCTGCAGCAACCAGCCCAGTGGCTTGTACTCTCCAGAGGCAGGGTGGAAGGAAAGACTCACCAGCCTTTTAGTATTTCCCCACTTCCTTTTATATTTAACTAACCTTATCTCCAGAAAAGCCAGGTTTCACCCTCCTGCAAGTCAGGAGAGATCCCAAAGACACAGGCAGGACACTGTACTCCTAAGCCAAAAGCCACTGGGCATCCATACAACACAGCAGGAGGCAGGACCTAGCTACCAGGTGCTGCTTTCTCAGGTGTGAGGTTAGATCAAGTGTGACAAAGGTGATTTTTGCAACTTATCTAAGCACATATCAAAAGCTATGGAGGTTGAAGGGAGAGTTGAAAAAGCCTGGAAGCCGCTCCGTCTCAGGATCAGGAGAGGGGAAAATGTTCTTGTTTTAGGAACAAGACATGCTGCCAACTCGGGTGGGTCAGGCTTGGCAAATGTCACCTGGGAATTTTTTTTAAGAGCCTATAGTTGGGAGTAACGAAAACTTTGCTCTTTCACAGGTAGTTGTTTCTCAACGCTGGGAGGAGTGTCCCCAGCATTTTGCTTAAGGGACATCTCGCTTGGTGCATTGTACCGACCCGCTCCGGCTTCACGAGAAATGGCCGCTGATTGAGAACAATTCTGCGCTTTGAGCAAAGCACAACCTTGGGGGAGGCTGGCCTGGAAAAGGAGCTCTGAGGAGAGAAGGGGTGAGTAGGAAAACGGAGGCAGAGGGTTGTCACCTGCTGAGCTTCCCGAGAGCTGGGGAAAGAGAGTCACCCTGGCCAGGTGGTGCAGGGCACAGGGAATCCTCGCGCCCCGCGTGTGCGTCGGGCTACTCCACACCTGCCGCGGGGTCTGACCGGTAGGCGAGCGGGCCGGCAAGCACAGGTGGTGGCGATTGGGCAGGCGGGGCCCGGAGGGTGACGTCACGGGCTCCGGTCCCGGCGGCAGAAATAGGGCAGCCGCGGCAGCGGTGGCACAGCGGCGGGCGGCGGAGGCACAGAGAGCTGGAGCTTGGACTGTCTCTAGCACGCCGGGGTACCAGCCGACAGCCGGAGACGACCCAGCGGAGGACGCGGGGGCCGGGTCCCTGCCTCTGTTGCCGCCACGGGGCGCTCCCTCCCTTCTACCCGAGTCCGGCCACCTGGTCTTCCTCTCGGCCCCGGCCACCGCAGGTAAGCGGAGCGCAGCTCTGGAGCAGATGCGGGTGTCCGAGTCGTGCCACTGCCGCCAGCCCGTCCCGCTGCTTCCAGTCGAGGTCCCGACGCCCGCAGCTCCGCAGCTCGCTGCAGGGCCCGGTGCGGGCGTTCGCCGGTCCTCACTGCCTACGCCTGGAGAGCCAAGTTTGCGCGCCTGGCCGCGGGCACGGGACCGCAGGGCCGGGGCTCCGTAGGGCCACCCTGGATGCGCTAGGACTGGAGGCTAAAGCTGGGGCATCTGGGGCATGATACCAGGGTATCAGAGTGGGGAACGGAGCGATCCTTATAGGCGCGCGGGGCGCCACGCAGAACCGCTCCAGCTGAGCTCGAAGCTCACGATCCGCACCGAGACTCTGCAGGCACCGCTCTTGGGCTCTGAACCCCGAATGGTCTCGGCCGAACCTTGGCGAGCGACAGACCCTGGCTTGGACCCATGCCCTTGGCTCGGATCTAGAGTGCGGGGCTTTCATCTTCTGTACCTCCTTCCCCTCCGCTTTGCGGGGAAACTTGCGTCCCCTTGTCGCAGCCAAAAGATGAGCTGCGCCTCTCCTGGCCCTCGTTTTACACCATGGTCCCTGGTCTAGGGAGCTCTCAGAGGGCATCCGGGCAGAACTCTGCTCTGGAGACCCTGCGGCTGTAATTCTGCGAGGCCACAGTTGTTGCTAGTAAGCGGCTGTTGTAGCCCACTGGGAAGTGTCCAAGGAGCAGTTTGTCCTGAGGACATTCAGGTTGGCGGCTTGGTGCTAACAGTGGCTGTGCTGAGTGATCTCACTGTCCCCTTAGCCCCAGTGAAGGAAGAGAGACAAACCATTCTCAAGTTTCAGAGGAGACCTGGGGAACGCAGGCAGAGTGCTGCTCTTGGGGTACACATTGCCTAGAGGTTGGGTACCACTGCAGCACCAGGCTTTGAGCATTCCCTTCAGCTGACAAAGCCGTGTCCCACTTGGCTTCCCTCATGCCGGCCACCTGAGGACTTCATATCCTGAAACTCTTTCGAGGGCAGAAACGGACAGACAGCAGTCAGTAGAGCTCCTGGTGTCCTGGATTTGGCGAGCATCTGTGCTGTGTTTTGGTCTAATCAGAATTCCCTGGCAGCTGGGTTCCCCACTAGGTCTGCATTTGCTCCCAGTACTGTTCCACCTTGCACTGCCCAGAGGACTTCTCTCCCTCCAGAAAACCAGCCCTTGACACTGATGAATAGCGCTTCTGTAGTCTGCCCTCCGCTCCCCTCTAGGGGTCGCTTCCACCGAGGTTTCCATGAGTGAAAAACAGCACCAGTAGCTGTTGTCTTAGGAAATCTGTTACAAGCCTGTGTGCCAAGAATTGTACTAGATACCCCCTACCCGTGAGGTACCCAAACCCACCCCCCTTTCATGTGCCTAACACAGAAATGGGGTAACTGCTAGACAAAAACAGTGCACAGCAACACCTCTTGCCATTTTCTAAGGGGGAAGGGGAATCATGAAGAAGACATCAGGACTTTCCCAGAAAGCACCCAAGTTATTTTCCTATCCACCAGCCTTTGGTGAAACACGGGTAAATTTTAGCAATATATTCTCATCCTTGGTACTGGCCAGTTTCGTTCTAGTCCCTCTGACTCTGAGGACAGGCTGTAGTGTGGAAATTTGTGGAAAGCAAACTGGCGGGGGAATAAGTGGGGCTTGTGTGGTATCAGAGCCCCAGCACCTCCCCCATTCAACGCTTGAACCCCTGTGCCTTACAGAACACAGTTGCTTCCTGCTGTAATTGTGAGAGAAGGGACTGAAGGCTCAGGTCATTTCTGCCACCATCAGCTAAATGCTGACTTCCATCCTCCCATCGTGGGAACCAAGACCTCCTTCTTCCAAGACTTCAGCTTGAACCAGAGGTCACCCAAGGAAAGAATCCACTGGACACAGTGTATTAATTAACATTCCTAATTACATTGTTCCAGTGCCTTCTATTTTCCTCTTAGAACTTTGAGGTTATCAATATCTGTTAATTCCAGAAAGGCTTTTATTTTTTCCTTCCAGAGATGGACCAGCTTGTTGACTTGGGACTAGGTCCCTCACCATGCTTTACCTTCTGCTAAGGACGTGTAGGATCTATTTATTTACTGTGACCTCATGTGGCGATCTTCTTAATAGTCTTTTACAGGGACTGGAATTGAGCAGTTAAGTGTCCCCACCTACCCTTAATGTCTACCCTATCTCTGAAGGTATTTTTCTCTGCAAGTCCCACCTCTTGGTGTCATTTATGTGTAGTTATTGTTCTTCCAAACTGAATGAAATCAGATATTTCAAGAGAGTATCTCTCCTGTCTCTTAATACATAACACCAAGGCATGGAATATCAAATATAATGGAAAAAACACAGTTAAAAGAATGTATTTATGGGCGGGAGAGATAGCTCAGCCATTAAAGGCTAGACTCACAATCAAAAATATAAAAGAATGTATTTATGCTGTATTACCTGAAGTTTGGAAGGATAGGGGTGATTAGAAGCCATAGGTGAATGTACAAAGCTTCAGTTCCAAGATCAATGTCATCAATTTATACATTGCATGTGGAATAACTTGGGTAGCCAATTTGTTGGGAAATACATAGGGTGCATAGTTAATAGAAAGTGCAATTTAGGCCTGATGAGATGGTTCAGTGGGTAAAGGCATCTGCTGTCAGGTATAGCAGTCTGAGTTTGAGGTTTAAGATCCACATATGGAATGAGAGAACAGATTCCTGCCACTTCTCTGACTTATACATACACAATAAATAAGTGAATAAATAAATGGAGTAAAAACTTCAGAAGAAAATGTAATTCTACTTAGTTATGGTGTTAAGATGTGCTGCAAAGTTAGCCTGATACAGTTATGTTCTTCTCTCCTCCAGGTTGATATTTTAGAGGCAATTTGGGGGAAATTCAAAGTGGTTTTTCTTTTTTTCCTAAAACAGACACAAATCAAAACTAGAGTCCTAACCCTCTCAGCAGAAATTATGATGTAGTCCCTGGTTTTAGGTTGGGTTTGGTATGTACCCTTCTCCCCATCATTTGGCAGATAGGCAGAAGAGGATAGCAAGGTTCTGGAGTTCACCAATTGATTTCTTTTCATTGACAGACATCAGAACATGGTGTAAAATTTAGTTCCATTGAAGTATCAAGCAGATGTTTGGAAATGGAGGTGCCTCTGAGGTCACAGACCTCACTGTTCTCTTTGAGGCTTTACCGAGTCATATTTATAATTTCTAAGCCATTTGTGTGTGACTAACCCATGGTGACGGGCCTGGTAATGTTCCTGTGTTCTGGAAAAGAGGTCAAGAGAGAAAAAGAGCTGGTGAGTGGTATCCCTGGTGGCTAGCATTCCCGCTTGTCCTGAAAGATTTGGTTACAGGAATAGACAAGACTTAAGCCTATCGCCTGTGGAAGACTCTGGTCGCTGATCCTGCACAGTAAATACAGCTTACACATTGGTTTGTGGTCTCTGGGTGGGGGCAGATCTTGTTTGTTAAACATGAATTCATATTAGTTTTAGTCTTTCCCTAATAACTTTTTAGTCATGGCTTTTCAACTTCCTTTAAAAATCAGCTTGGCATTTGGAATATTACATCATGCTAATTTGTCATTACTCTATAATTTTGAACAGAGAAAGACAGCACAGACACAAGCCTGCTTTACAACATCAGGAAGTTTTGTGGTTTGCACAGAGGCTACAGCACTGACAAGCATGAGCACATCCTGGAAGGGCATGCAAACCTGAGCTCTCTTTATAAGTTTGCGATAGCGTAAGAATGTCGACAGGGGTCTAGGAGGTAGGATGCTGGGGTTAGAGTCTAGGTCTGGACATTGCCTTGATTCCAAACATTTAGTGACTATTAAAGCTACAGCAAGCAGGCTAGTACCTAGTTCTCCTGGCCGTGGGAGAATGTTGAGGACTAGGTGGGGGCCAGAGGAAAGAGTGAAGTGCCTCTCTTCAAACAAATATATTTCATCTGCCAAGTGATTGATGCCCCTAATTGTACGGGAAAAGGTTCTGTCTCAGGGACTCCATCTTGGCAGAGTTAGAACCAGTGATTGGGGTCTGACCAGGATTGATTGAAACATACAACAAATGAAACATAGCCTCAGAAGGAGGTCTAGGTTGATAGAGAGGATCTGCAAACTTTATGAGTAGCTCATCCCCAGATCTGTAATGGAGGAACTCTTGCTAACGGCTAGCTATCAAGGTTATTTAAATTGGCGTTGCAATGAGTTCAGTAGCAGATTGATATCCTCAAAGTGACTTGTGCTCCCTTGAGTTAGAGGAGCATCATTGTCTTCTAGAATCCTGGGTGATTTTTCTTGGAGAGTGTGCCAAGTTGTACCCACTCTGGAATCGGCTACAGAAGGGGCCAGCTTGGCTCTTTCCCCTTGCTCTTTAGCCATGGTCAGAGGCTTGGACAAGCAAAGGAGGCTGGATCTGGGCAGATTTCGGGGGGAAGGGGGAAGAAGGGAGTCCCAGTTTGCTTTGTGTAGATTGACTCTGTCATACAAAGAACTGCTTACTAAGATTAAATATTGCCAAGGGTGGAGAGTCATCAAGGGACAGGTTGTAAGAGAACCACCCACCTGCTGACTGACATGCCATGTAGCTTTGACAGGATACTTACCCTCCCTGTGACCCTATTGTCTCTGTCATCAGATGGGGAGGAAGGATAGTCATTGCCTTCTGTAGGGAGTAAGATGAGGGTTATGAGTGAATGCCTGTAAAGCAGTTAGAATAGTACCTGACACACAGTAATTGCTATGTGAGTGTTAACCAAATAGAGAGTTTCTATTTGGTTATTAGACAGATCATCAAAATTGATTTAGACCTAATATTAATTCTTCTTTTTATTGACTGAGTTGTCATAAAACTCAAGTTGAAAATTTTTAGGCTGTTGCTGTTCCAGATGCAATGAATTGTCAATCACCCTTTGTATAAAATGACATCCAAGACACATCCACAGTGTAAATGAAATCAGCTAGTGGTGGCCTAACTGAGCTGCACTTTATAAAGAAGCTGTGTAGGCTTATTTGGATCTGGCTCACATGTCTCCCTGTCTTCAAATAAGGTCTTAATAGGGAACCTCAATGCAAACTGAATAAAGATCAGTGTCAGCTCCAGCTACCAAGGCTAGCTGGAGCCTTGAAGTGTTGGAGTGTCCTGAAACACCTCTCAGAATTCAGCCACTAGTTACCTTCTGGGCCTGCCTCTTAAATGAAGCTACATAGTGCTTGCCAAGATAATAATAGAAATAAATGAATTTTATTTTGATACTATCCATTAATAATAAAAATACCATTGGCTTTTTATTACTAATTAGTTATAGATTACTATGCAGATTGAAAGTAAATTGTTAGATTTTGTGGCTTGCATATTTCATAATTCCAGGAATTCATATCTGTGCATTAAGTAAGGCATATTTTGATTATCTCACTGTTTTTAGTAGTTTTGGGCAAGGGGGCATTATAAGCATTTCTACAGATCTAATGGGATGGACAGAGATGGATTATGGCACTCAGGAGACAAAGAATACCGAGTGTTACAGCTAGGATGAAAAGGTATTCTGGCAATCAGGAGCCAAGGAATACCACAAGTCACAGAAGGACATAGTAGCTTACAGCCCTGCTTCAGGGAGAGGCTTCCCCAGTGTATCAGCTCTGCTCCAGCAGGCGAGGGTTTCCCTGACGAAGTTGCTACAGTTCAGCTCCATTCACCCCACTGGAGAGAGTGTAACAACTGCAGTTCACTGGGGGAAGGTTTACCCTCGTGAAAAGTGTTACAGTCCTGCTCTGCTCTACCCAGGGTCGTCTCTGCTCCAACAAAAGAAGGTCTCACCCAAACCTCATTCAAGAAATTTATCCGGAGGGAAGAATCCAGGAGAGTGACTACCCTCTGTCAGGGTGGCAGAGGACAGCTGAACAGCCCGAACAGCCACAAGGTGAACAGACACAGGGTTTATATAGGACTTCTTAGGGGGGTGGAATTTTCCAGGGTGAGCATTGGTCGGATTTCAATCCCTGAGCTCAGAATGGTTAGATCTCCTGCTCAGGGATTGGTTAGTTTTCTGCACAGGGTTAGGGTCAGATTTGGCTCTGGTTTCAGGACCAAAGTGTATTTCTTTCTTTGGTCCTTTTTAGCCTTTTGGCTCTAGTTTTATTTAGGGTCAGGGTGTATTTCTTTCAATGATTCTGATTCCAGGGACAAAATGTGTTTCTTTGGCACTGGTTTCAGTGTCAAGGTACATTTCTTTGGTTCTGGTTTCAGGGCCAAAGTGTGTTTTCTGGCTTTGCTCAAGGTATGTTTCTTTGGCTGAACCCTTTTTCCTACAGGCATGATAAAGAGGTGAGCAGACCTTTAAATGCAAGCACTTACCACACAAGCATTATTTGTCAGTGGGCTAAGTATGGGCACTTTCTCATTCCAGCTTGAATTACTATAGTTAGCTCTTAAAATATGCAAACGTCCAGTAGCTGCCATCTGCAGTCTCTGTAATGTGGCTCCGGGTCCAAAGAGGATAATTCATGAAGAATATAGAGTTGCTGTATTTATTTTTAGAAAAACAAAAGAGTTGTAGTATGGAAAATATTCCCTTGTAGCCTCATATGGGGGGCTTCTCATCATTCTGAGATTGTCCATCCTTTGTCTAGGGTCAGGCAGTTCATGTTACAGGCCTCACACACACAGGCAGCAGCAGAAGCCACACTGTGCAAAGTGCAGAGCAGGATCAGAGATGGTGACATTCTGATGATAGCTACTGACCACTTGGAGTACTTTCCCAATAGCTTAGCCTCGCCGACAGATGTCAAAAAAGAAAAAAAAAGAAGAAAAGAAAAAAGAATGGTTGAAGAAACAGAGAAACGGGGGTCTGGAGGCTTTCTCTAAAAGGTAGTTATCCCATGTCGTTTCATAAGCCAGAGTGTGGTGTCTCAAGTTTTAGTCTGCCTTCTCCTCTCAGTGGGCATTTCTTTCTCACACATGGGGAGGCAGCCAGAGGCACCTAGGACACAGCACAAGTGGCTTTGTTTGGTGGCCGTGGCCCATAGCACTAGTGACTGAGTGACAGCCTTTGTCCCTTAGTCAGGTTCTTAAAGTGTTCCTACTCCTGATCCCTTCCACCTCTTACATACACTAGATTACAAATCAGATATTTACTGATGAGAAAACCTTAGACTTTTTTTTGTTTTTTTTTTTTGAGGTAGGGCTTCTCTGTATTGTTTTGGAGGCTGTCCTGGAACTCTCTCTGTAGACCAGGCTGGCCCCGAACTCACAGAGATCCGCCTGCCTCTGCCTCCCGAGTGCTGGGATTAAAGGCGTGCGCCACCAACGCTTGGTGACTTGTTTTGTTTTGTTTTATTTTTGCTTTTTGAGACAAGGATTCTCTCTGTGAATGATCCTGGCTATCCTGGAACTCGCTTTGTAGACCAGGCTGGCCTTGGATTCAGAGAGATCCACCTGCCTCTGCCTCTAGAGCACTGGAGTTAAAGGTGCGCACCAACACACTTGGATGACTTTTACTTTTGAAAATTTACTTATTATTTTAAATGTGTGTGTGTAGTAAAGAGGAGGTACCTCCCAGCCCATGGCAGGCCACAGGCATCAGATTCCCCTGGAGCTTGAACTATAGGTGGTTTTGAGTAGGCTGACATGGATCCTGGGAATCAAACTTGGATCTTCTGCTAGAGCAGTATGTACTCTTAACCACTGAGCCATGTCTCCAGCCCCCAAGAGATTCATTTTAAAGCAACTCTTTAGTACATATGTGCTTTTTGTATCTGTTAAAGAAGAAAGTAAATTTGCATACTCGTGAAATGGATGTGCAGAAGGAATTACATTTTGGCGTATATTTGGTGCTGCAGGGAGAAGGACATCTCTGGTGTTTCTCAGAGCTGATTAATATTTTGATTTTATAATTGTCAGTGTTGAATACTACGTGTCACTTAAATACACACTACAAAAATGGCAGAAGGGTGTTCAGGACCATTTCAGAAACAGTTGGAAATTCTGTCCTGCTCCTGAGCCAAATTTTCGTTTAACAAGTTTTATGGAATTCCAGCCAGCAACTCAAATAGCAATTTTAAAAATCAAACATTCTTACACAATACTATCCAAATATATATACTCATTTGATACTTACATGCTGAGGAATGACGGTAGGAAAATATTAAAAGACTTAGTCTTCTATAATCAAACTATTACGTTTCCATAAGAGCAGAAAACTTTGCCCAGTGAAACACTGTGGTTCAGAGCATGCAGTAGTCTTGGTAATGTTTCAGGCAGCATTTGGTGGTAGTGTGTTAGGTCACATGGCATGTGTGAGGCATGTCTGGTGTGCGTGGAGCCAAGGCTGCCATGAAGTGGTGAGATGGGATGGAGCATGGATTGCATTGTCACAACCCCCTTGGATTCATTGTGCATGCGTTTTTCAATCAGTTGTTGGTTCTGTATTTTACTGTTTACTATATTCTACCATTGATCAATTCTTAAGAACCCCTTCTCCCAGGAGAAACTATGTAAGTCCCTTTGAAGCTGTGATCCACAGTTCAGAGTGTAGGAGTTATCCAAGGCTGTTGACTTGAGTCTTCAAGCTACAAGGTATCTCAAGTCACCAAGTTTTTGAACCAGATACCAGCTGTAGCCCAGGGGTGCTGGCCTCTCTCTGGGCAAGGTCAGGATGTGGCATGTGAAAAGCCTGCAATTAAATAGTATTAAAATTATGGCTAACATACACTTACAGTAGAAACTTTATTTAAAAAGTAAGCAGGTGGGCCAGTGAGATGGCTTGGTAGGTAAAGGCACCGCCCCAGAATCCACATGGGAGAGGAACAGAACTGACTCCTGTAAGTTGTTCTCTGACCTCCATCATATCCCCCACCACACACACACACACACACACACACACACACACACACACACACACACACACACACACACACACACACACACCCTCTATTGTGGTTCCTCACCAGTCATCCATCTTGATTTTTTTGAGAGTTTTTCTCATGATCACCACTTCCCAATTAGGCAGTGCTGGCTGGTCAGCAAGTCTCTGGGATCTGCCTTTCTCTACCTTCCCAGCACTAGGATTAGAGATACAAACTGTTATTCCCAGCTTTTTATGTGGGTCCTGGGGCTCAAACTCAGGTCTGTCCGTTTGCATGGCAAGCACCTTACAAAGCATGCCACCTGCCCAGACCCTTAGGTTAACCTGTGTGTGGACCCCTTCCCCATGACTGTGGCTTCCTACTGCTTCCCCACTGAGCCTTTGTTATTTTCTCAACAGATTGAACAAAATGAAGCCAGGAAGCTTCTGGCCGCATCTTGCCCTACTTGGGGTCTCCCTGCCGGCTGTGCTGGGATGGATGGACCATGGAGCCAGCAGAAGCCCGAGTGTGGTTCTGCAAGAGTCGCAGGCAGAGGTATGGTCTGGTAACTACCAATAGGATATCTAGTACAGGTTGCTTTTCAGTGTTACAGTGTCTGATTTCTCTCCCACTTTTAGATCAGTTATATCACTGTGTAAATTCAAATTGCACTCCATTTTTGGTGGGGGATGGGAGGAGGCAACAGGTGGGCCATAGTCCTGGAATTGTTCAACAATGAGAGCACATCCCTACACCGTGCTTTTCCGCTGGACATTTATCCCGTCACAAAGACCCTTCTAGGACTGGCTTTTCTGTATACTTAATAAAAATTGCACAAATTTAGACTAATTGGTGGAGCACACCATGTGAACTGATGATGTATTTTACTGACAAAATATATCTTTAGAGAAGCAGGCCATTCTTCGGGTATATAGATAAAAAAGAACCAAACTGAGGAAGGATTGGCGAGCTGAGGTCCTGAGGGAGATGGCTTTAATGAACAGATAAGAATGATTAATGGCATGCTAGGGGTATATAAATACTTCTAAAGAGCTTAGAAAACTTACTCTCAGAAACCTCCCCTGAGGGCCTGATTGTACTGCTAATTGCTTAGTGATCTCTAGTCTAAAGTATCCCATGCACTTGCCCTACTCAAGGTAGCAGACTCGGTGAACTTGAGGTGGCCTCATGAATTTAGGGTGCATATGTGATGCAGGTTATCTTCAAAAAAATGTGTTGTGCAAGCGCTGAACTTTGAGAAATGAGCACCTCCTGCATTACAGCCACCTGGAATTTTCCTCTTTGCCTTGAGGAGCCGAGCCTTATCAGGGCTCTCCCAGGCATCCCCACTCCCATTGTCTCACACGGACACACGCTGGCTCCTTTTCTCTGTCCCTGTGCGTCTGTTCCTGGGGAAGGAGAAATCAAAATTACCAGAAAAAGTCAACATGCCCGAAGAGTGGATAAGGGACACACATAGTGTGTGTTAGGATTAATGCATTATTTGATCAAATGGCACAGAGTTCTCCTTCATTATTACTTAATTGTCATGCAATCCCAAACCTGCAAGCCTTACTCTTCAGGGAGTTTCGGAAGTAATTTAATGCACACTTCTCCTGCTGAAGTTGGTGGAGTGTGCTTTTGTCTCAAGTCAATGATTAAATAGAAACACTATTGCTCCTACCTAAATCTAGGAAGGACATACCTTAATGTTACTTTGAAAGCATATAATGGCGGCTGCCACAGGGCTGGTGAGAGCCACATTTCCCACGTGGAAAGGGTTTCATTTTTCTACTCACATCCCAAGAGGACCATCACTTAAGTCCTATAGATCCATCCTTGAATATTTAATAGGAAAGCAAACAGGCAGGCCTTACAGGTAGCTTACTCTCCTGGAGGTGGGGGACTCCTTGGCCCTCTTTGGTGAATCACTTATTTCAATTAAGAAGCAAGCTAATTAAAGTGGGATTTAGCTGCTGGTAAATGGGAGGCAAGTTAACATCACCCAGAACCTCCTATGTAAGCACTCAACACCTCAGCTTTGTGTAACAACAGGGAGGCAGGTGCTGTGCACCTTGGTTTAGGTTTGTCTGCTCCCCCTCCCCCCCCAGCTCCAGCTGTGTGTTCCAAATCCACGAATGTCACGAAAGTCACTGGCTGCTTCAGGAAGCTGGAGGCAGCTCCAGCTGACCTTTGGGCACACCTCTCAGCTGTAGCTCTATTTTCTGCTCCTAGCTGTGATTAATGAGGTGGTCATGCCAAGAATGGGTGAGTCCATGGGAGGTGAGGATGGCCCTGGTCAGTGTTCAGCTACCAGGAGCAGAGCATTCACCGCAGTGGAGGTGCTTGCTGACTTTGGTCATGTTCTGAATGCCTCCAACCTCTGGTGTGTGTGTGTGTGTGTGTGTGTGTGTGTGTGTGTGTGTGTGTGTGTGGTGCGTGTGTGGTGCCTGTTCATGCAGAGGCCCGAGTGAGACATCCTCCTCTATCACTCTCTGCATTATTATCCCCTTGAGGCAGGGTCTCTCATTGAGCCTGGAGACAGCAGTTTTTCAACTGGGCTATCTGGCCAGCAAGCCCCAGGTATTCTCAGGCTTTGCATAGCCAGGGTTCTCTCCTACTGAGTCATCTCCCTAGCCCAGCAGTTCTCCACCTGTGGGTTGAAACCCCTTTAGGAGGGCTGAATGACTCTTTCACAGAGGTTGCCTAAGACCATCGGAGAACACAGATATTACATTACATTATGATTCTTACCAGCAGAAAATCACAGTTATGACGCAGCAATGAAAATAATTTTAGGGTTGGGGTCAGCACAACATGAGGAACTGTTAAAGGGTCACATCTTTAGGAAGTTTGAGAACCACTGCTCTGACCAAAGCTCTTGTTCTTACTCCTTCTCTAGAACTTCCTTTAGATCACTATTAATCACATATGGGCTTGCTTTTGGAATACTTAGTTTTTAAAAGGCTCATATGCTCATTTTTAAAAAATTTCTGTGTGAGTGGGGGGTGATGAGTTTATTTATACCACATGCATGGAAGCCCACAGAGACCAGAGGGCATCCATCAGATCTCCTGGAGCTGGAATGCCAGGTGGTTGTGAGTCACCTGGTGTAGGTGCTGAAAACTGACTCCAGGTGTGGTGGTTTGAACAGGTATGGCTTCTATTGACTCAAGTGTTTGAATGCTTGGCCCGTTGGGAATGACACTACTAGGAGGTGTGGCCTTGTTGAAGTAAGTGTGTGAAAATGGGGGCAGGCTTTGAGGTCTCATATGCTTAAACTATGCCCAGTGTGGCACACAGTCTTCTTTGTTGCCATGGTCATGGTATCTCTCCACAGCAATAGAAAACCTAAATAAGATACCAGGTCCCTTGTTGGAAGGTGGTGGCGCACGCCTTTAATCCCAGCACTCAGGAGGCAGAGGCAGGCCGATCTCTGTGAGTTCGAGGCCGGGCTGGACTGACAGCCTCCAAAACAATACAGAGAAACCCTGTCTCATAAAAAAAAGATACCAGGTCCCCTGCAAGAGTAGCAAGTGCTCTTAACCATCAAGCCATCTCTCTTGCCTCTTACTGGTCCTTATTTCTTAGACGCTTTCATTTTGCATATAGATGAAGCTGATCTTGTTTATCTTTCTCATCCTTTCAGTGTCTTGTTCATTTTATGAGCAAAATGGAGACTGAATTTTTTTAAATGTCAATCAAAACTTGATGCAGAATCCAATATTCATCATAAGATCACTAGACCACCAGACATATGGCCTTTTACCTACAGACAGGTTCATGTATGATGGGACAGTAACCAGTGTCCTCTGCTAGCTGGGAGCAGCTTACATCTTACTGACTGATATCAAGGTTGCCATTGAGGTTCATGGTTTCTGGATCAAAGTTTCTTCTTTGAACTGTAGCTAATAATATATTCATGACTCACTGTCCAAGATGCACTGAAATCTTCTAGAATCTTCCTCAGGTAGTCTTATTTCTGGGAAGGATCCAAACCAACAGAGTTTTCTGAGACTCTAAGATAAGTAAAAATCAAACAAAACAACCTTTTTTTTCTATTTGTTCGTGTGTGTGTGTGTGTGTGTGTGTGTGTGTGTGTGTGTGTGTGTGTGTGTAGTCTTGTAGTCAATGTCTCGTGTCTTTATCACTCTCCACCTTATTTTTTGAGATAGGGTCTTCATTGGCCTGGGGCTCACCCATCAGCTAGCTTGGCTGGCCAGCAATCCCCAGGTCCTCTTGCTCTCCAGCGCTGGGACTGCAGGCACACTGACTGTTTTACTGATGCTTGTGAGACATGCAGCTGGCGGTGTGGACGTGTTTAAGAGGACCTGCCAGCTTTTTCTATGGGTGCTGGGATCCAAAATCAGATCCTCATACTTTGGCAGCAAGCATTCTGCCACCTCACCCATCTTTCCAGCAAAATGACTTTTTGGCAAACTAAATATTAAAATGGTTTTCTGTGTCTTTTCTCCCTGATAGCAGTGCTTCAAAAATTATCAAGATTTTCTGAGGTACTGGGGACACATTAATAAGGTTTGACTTGTCTTTTAAAGTTATTACAACAATTGTCTCAGTCTCCTAAGAGTAAATGAAGATTAAGTGGCCAATGGGTGAGTGTGTGTGTCTGTGTATGCACACACAAACACGTATTTTGAAAGCAGCTAGAGCCAATGTGAATTTTAGTAAATTATTGTTTCTTGTACAAAGACTGCAGTTAAAATAGCTTCCAGGAATTTACTATTTTACAGATGTGGATTAGAAATGCAGCTGCCGGGTGTGCCTCTTTATAACAGCCAAGGATCAGGATGTGGCCTTGAATGCTAATGACATTCTGGATTGAAAAGAAACAATTCTGGAGTAGAATTCACTGAAATCTTAAAATGTTATCATGTGCCCCTCTTCCCCATCTTACACCACCGCCAAGATAAGCTGATCATCCTTGACCCCCATATCTGAAATACAAGATGACAGGTCATTTAGGGGCCAATAAGATTCCACAGGTTAGAAAATCCCACACCTGACTTCATGTGACAGGTTTCGGTCAGAAATGCAGGCACACTGCAAATGACTGCAAGGTCTGGAGAGATGACTCGGAGGTTACGAGTGCATTCTGTACTTGCAGAGTACCCAAAGTCCATTTCCAGCACCCATGTGGGTTGGTTCACAACTTCATGTTAATTCCAGCTCCCTGGGGATCAGATGTCTCTGTCATTCTTAGGCACTGTAGTCATTTGCATATGTGCACACACAGACACAGACACACACACACACACAATTGAAAATAAATCTTTAAAAATTTCTGCAGGTTATATGTATGAGATAAATGAATTTCATGTTCTGACTTGGGTTCCATGCCTCAAAGAGCTCATTATATGGGTGCAAATATTCTCAAATCCTCCCAAATCCCAAATGCAAGCCAGCTTTGTTTCCAGGCATTTTGGGGGAAGGATTTTATTGATGGGTAACTGAGAAGTCAGAAGAGTATGAAGGGTGACATAACAGCAGCTCCCAGAGGACTGCCCTATTTTTGCAGTGTGGGCATTTGTGGGCTC